TCCGGGCTGCCCTCGGAGTACCTGGGAACCTCCTGCTATCCTCGGGTTGGAGGCCCAGACTCTCGGTGTCTGAACGTGAAAGGGATGTGCCTCTCCTGAAGTTTATAATGTCAAGGTCATCTTGGGCACTCACACCTCCGGGAGTCCGAACCACTGCAAACAAGCCTCATCTGACTTTGAAATGACAACAAACTATTAAATAGACAACGAGGTCAAAAGGAAGGGAAGAAAGAGGGAGGAAGAGGTGGAGAGGGGGAGGTGCTCCGCGGGTGCGACAGATGGAGGAAGGAGATAGAGGAAGGCCAATGTCGAACAGGGGGAACCATGAGACCGCACACGGCTTTCTCCCCAGCTCCAAATGCACCCTTTGCCCCAACTCCACAAAGGGGCCTACACATGCCTGGAAACGCTGGTGGGAAGCAGGGCCGTCTGTCAGGGACAAGAAGCAGAAAGGCAGAATTCATCTTTTTGCTCTGGAGACCTGGGGAAGTTGCATTCGGGCTCAGCGGGCCGGGGGCCAATGCCGGAGGCCTGCCCGAGGTCTGGTGGGGACAGCAAGGGGGCCCCAAGGTCTCCTTTGAAGCTGCCCAGCCCAGGCCTCCAGGACAGAAAGGCGGGCAGGCAGGGAGTGTCATAGAACGAGCAGTGTGCAAATGTGGACACTGCCCCGTGCTGCTGTAAGGGGTCGCGAGGGAGAAGCCCTAACCCAAAGCACGCCCGAGCTAGAGGACGGCTCCATGGTGCGACAAAAACAAACACAAAAGTCGGGGCCAAGCGTAAACTAAAGGCAGATCTGCAAAGTTCGAGAAACTCACCAGGCCACTAAAAAAATTTCAGCTTGGCCCCAAATTTGCCATGACCTCACTTATTTTTTTTTTTTTTTTTTATTTATGAGCAGCTGTCCTGATATCAATCCTGCCTCTTGCCATAATCCTTTTTCCATGACACCGGAGAGAACACATCGGGAGCCTCAGTGTGAACCATGCTATCGGGACTAGAAAGAACTTTATCTTTTTACATAATTTTTTTTTAATTTTTTAAAATGTTTGATTTATTTTTGAGACAGAGAGAGACAGAGCATGAACGGGGGAAGGGCAGAGAGAGAGGGAGACACAGAATCGGAAACAGGCTCCAGGCTCCGAGCCGTCAGCCCAGAGCCCGACGCGGGGCTCGAACTCCCGGACCGTGAGATCGTGACCCGAGCCGAAGTCGGACGCTTAACCGACTGAGCCACCCAGGCGCCCCTCTTCTTACATAATTTTTAAAGTTTATTTATTTTGCAAGAGAAAGAGAGCATGCTCACGAGCCGGGAGGGGCAGAGAGAGAGGGAGAGAGAGAATCCCAAGCAGGCTCTAGGAAGGAAGTGAGTTGATGTGAGACGAGCTGGGTCCCCCCAGCCAGAAGCTCTTCCTAGAGGGGCCTGGGTGGGGGGGGGGGGGGCGGCCGGGGGGCAATAGCAATTTTTATTTCCCCTGGGATACGAGCCCGGAAGGAGAGATAGGGGTCTCGACCCCAAGTCCTCCAATATCTTTTTCTTGCCACTGTTTATTCTGCCCTGTGCCGTATGCAAATCGGGTCATGGTCAGGATCAAGGCACAGAGCATGGGGTAGCATGGGTTCCACCTAAAATTGAGGTGTTCCTGCATGCCGCCTATCAGCAAAGCCCCAGAGAAAACTCACATACACGCCCCGTCCAGGAACAGGCCTGGCCCAGCCATTACCCGACAGGTTTGGGACACTGTCGTGTGACCTCGGTAGCTGGCTGAGGCTCGGGGTCCCCGGTAAGAGGTTGGGATGGGGGAGGAGTGGTGAAGGAGGCAGAGAAAAGGTTTCCTGATTACTGGATGAACATAAACCCAGGCCTGAGCTTCAGTCGGGCTCTGAGCGCATCGGATCACAGCAGATCCCCCGTCCCCGTGCACTCCCCGCCTCCGATCTCTCGTTCGGTCCTCTCTTATCTGGCCCCGATGAAGCACGGGCTCTGAAAATGTGCGGTCACTCGAGAAGGGTGGGGATACCAAAGAGCTTCTAGGAACGAATGACTCAGCCAAGGCTGAAGAGAACCACATGGTCTAGATGCAAACATTTGCACACACACACACACCTCACCAAAAGCACTTTGGGGATCTTTTCACCGCTTCTGTCGCCGGTGGGGCGAAGTCACAGGCCCGGGATGCCCGCTTGCGGTGTTCTCTCGCACCGTCAGTCCCTGATGGGGATTCCCGTGCCGGATTCCCTGCCCCCGGGGAACTTGTCGGCTTCCTCCGAGGACCCTTAGCAAAGCCCACGGGTCAAAAGCCCTACCTCAGGGTACCCGTTTTGTTCCCCCTGTCCTAACAGAATGGCCAAGGGGACCACCGTGAAAGTCGTTGTCTCCCGCATAAGGACCTCGGGTCGAGAAAAGAAAACGGTTCGTGCTGTGTTAGTCCCATGCACTGCTACTAAGGTCCCTGATTCTTGAGGTCCATAATTCCAGGCCTCCTATCCCAGGCAGACAGCTCCCAAACTACCCCCAAACATCTGGCTTGCGTGTACCTGCATAGCGGGTTTCTGCAGTCACTTCCTTCAGGGCATCTCATCTGGCAAGCAGCCTGATCTTCAAGACGTGCTCTGGGGCCCCGGCTGAGACACTGAAGAACGTGGGACCCTTTGAGGCCCGTACGGACCCTCCAGAGTGAAAACGAAAAGCAGCCCAGGTTAAACCGTTGAAACAGCAACGATAGAATTTGCGAATGGATACATACCATCGCGGTGTGCGGGAGCCCAAGATTTTTGTTCAAAAACAGCTCCCCGGTATGTGTCAGAACGAGGCCTTGGTGACAGAGCCACCCGGAAGGGCCAACAAAATACACAGTCGGGTGTTTCCTAAACCTACTACAGCAGGGAGACCGAGAGAAGCCGCTCCCCTGCCAAACGGAACATTCCAGATGCTGAGGAGATAAACTGGAAGAGGCTGTGGTCTGGGAAACATCAGAGAGAGCTAGTTCCCTCCCGGCGACGGAAGTTCAACACGCTTGGAGGAACTGGAGATGGCCCAGACCCCCTCCAGCTTGAACAGGCTGATGAGGTTACACTAGGAAGAATCCCCATTTCCTTCCATGGCCCCCGCCCCCAACACCAGAAGGGCTTCACGCCTGCTCTCTCTAAGTTTTTACGCACAAAGCTTTCCCACCAAGCAATCCGCCGACCCCTGCCAGACTCAGGACCCTGCGTGCTGGTGTGCTGTGAAATCCAGAAGCTCTCCTCCCCCTTTTCGTGCATATTCTGGGGCTTTCTCGGGTTTTAGCAAAAGAGCCTTTTAACGGTGCGACTCATGGGCCTCCACCTCCATCGCGCGCAGGGAGGTCTGGACCAAAGAGCAAATCTAAACAACAGACTCCACAGATCATTCAGGATCCCCTTCCCCCTCCCCCAGTGACCAAGGCTTCACTGCTGGGTCCAGCTGGTCTCGTCCGAACACGGCTTCTTCCCTGAAGCCTCCTCAGTCCCAAACGTGGTCCTAGCCGGTCAAACCCCCACGGTGGCTGGGCCCGTGAACCCCGGCTTGGGCCCAAACACAGACCACCCGCTTCAAAAAAGAATTAGACCTGTGCTTTCTTACAATTGCCTCGGGCTGGGGGGTTGGGGCAGCGTGTCTGGGCTGTAGTCACAGACACAAGCAATTTTCATGACGACCTAAGGTGTCACTGTCCTTCCACTCGTGCTTGTGTTGTTACAACGGGCTGAGGATTACCTTAATCTAAACGATGTTATCTGTCTAAAAAAGAAAGAAAACCATTTTTTTTTT